ATCTCACAATAAATCATATACACCAAAAGCATGCTGTGTGATGGTTTTAGTACACTGGCATACATCTGTGCGAGGTTCACGCTCAGATTTCTGGCTGCTGTTGGCCTGTCTCGTCTCCCTCTCTGCAAAACATCTCTAAGAAGCCCTCCAGTGCCCTATAATCTTGCCATTCCCATCACATCCTGGTTATTCTAGCATCGCACCAACCACTCCAAAATACATTAATGCGTGGGTCCCCAAAAAGGTGCCATGGGCACCATATATGGTTGCCAGCCTCCAGGTGGGGCCTGGAGATCCCCTGCTTTCACAACTGATCTCCGGCTGACAGAGATCAGCTCCCCTGGAGAAGATGGCTGCTTTGGAGGGTGGACTCTATGGCATCGTACCATGCTGAGGCCCCTCCCCTCCCCAAACCCCGCCCTCCTCCAGATCCACCCCCAAAGTCTCCAGGTATTTTCCAACCCAGGCCTGGCAACCAGTGTTCCCTCTAAGCTGAGTTAGTGTGAGCTAGCTCACAGGTTTTTAGCCTCTGGCTCTCACATTTTTGTCTTAGCTCAGGAAGGATGGCTCCAGAGCAAACTAGTTTATGCAGTAGCCAAATTGCTCGCTCGCAACTTTAATGTCGGTAGCTCACACAGTAGAATCTTTGCTCACAAGTTTAGAGGGAGCATTGCTGGCAACCCTCGCGCCGTGGCATCCACAGAAATTGAACGTAAGCTGTGTGTAAGCAAGGAAATATTTTTCAATAGGCCCATTTTTAAAAGGCACCCTGTTAAACAGCTACGATCTGATTTACTGTTAGAGTTATGCACAGCGTTACTTCCTGACATTCTGTGGTAGGCTCCAATTCCTGCAGCAGCCATTTTGATTTGTGTCCAATACCGTGCCAGTTTGGTGTCATGGTTAGGAGTGCGGGCTCTAATCTGGGAGAACCGGGTTTGATTCCCCACTCCTCCACATGCAGCTGCTGGCATGACCTTGGGCCAGTCACAAGTTCTTTCAGAGCTGTTCTCCCAAGAGCAGTTCTCTCAGAGCTCTCTCAGCCCCACCTACCTCACAGGGTGTCTGTTGTGGGGAGGGGAAGGGAAGGGGATTGTAAGTTGCTCTGAGACTTTGAGTGAAGGGCAGGGTATAAATCAAAACCTCCTCCTCCTTCTTCTTCAGGGAGAAAGGCAGGGTATAAATGAAGTTAAATAAATAAATATTAAATCCATTCATTTGGAAGGAGGCCCAGGTGAAGGGTGAGGTATAAATCCAAATCCCCACATAGAAGGATGCTGGATGACCATGGGCCGGTCACACACTCTGAGCCTAACCTACCTCACAGGATAACATAGAGGAGGATAAAACGATGGGTAAAACAGAGGAAGATAAAAGGGAGGAGAGGAAGACAAAACAGAAGAGAGGAAGGCAATGTAAGCTGTTTTGGATCCCCACTGAGAGCCAGTTTGGTGTAGCAGTTAAGAGCAGCAGACTCTAATCTGGGAGAACCGGGTTTGATTCCCCACTCCTCCATATGCAGCCAGCTGGGTGACCTTGGGTCAGTCACAGCTCTCTCAGAGCTGTTCTCTCAAGAGCAGTTTCTGTCAGAGCTCTCTCAGCCCCGCCTACCTCACACTGTGTCTGTCGTGGAAAGGGGAAGGGAAAGGAGATTGTAAGCTGCTCTGAGACTTTGAGTTCAGGGCGGGGTATAAATCCAAACCTTCTTCTTCTGCTTCATTAGGGAGAAAGGCAGGGTATCAATGAAGTTAAATAAATAAATATTAGATCCATGCATTTGAAAGAAGGCTGTCAGACTCCCAGTCAAGTTACTCTCAACAACTCTCTCTTTGGCAGCGATACGTTTATTGAGATGTACGCATGATCCAGAACATCACCTGTGTCAGAACTAAAGACTTTTGACGGGCACAAGCTTATTATAGGTAATTCAAACAAAAGCCCCTTCCTTCCCTCCCCAGGCATACGTCATACAGACACACCACGCCTAGTGCTGCCATCTCAACCAAATGGGAAAATATATGGCATAGTTATCTACTGCTCAAGCTGGTACCAAAAAGCTTTCAAGGACACCTCTGCCTGGGAACAAGAGAGAGAGAGAGAGAGGGAGGGAGGGAGGGAGGGAGGGTTTTTTTAGGGAGGGAGGGAGGAGGTACATTTTGCAAGGAAAGTTATGACTTCTGAAAAATAAAGGTCCCATTCTCTCACTCACTCATTCACTCCCCTCCCCTCCCCTCCCCGCAGGAATTCCCTCCCCCCATAACTATGGCAACCAAAGGGAGCATAGCAAAGCAAGGTTTGACAAAGGCCCAGGTCTCCTCTGTGATACATAGTACTTTTATCCAGGGTCCTTCCTTGAAAAGTGAGATTCAGCTATAGTTATCTATGCTCTCATCACACATCTCTGTTTCAGTCCACTGTAATATCTTCTGCAGGGGGGCGGCTGCCTGTTCCAGTTAGTTCAAAACGCAGCTACAGGACTGATGGCCATTAAGGATGACAGGGAACGTATTTTGGCATGGGTTGAAAGAGCTATGCTGGCTGCTAATTGGAGATGCCACAGACTTCCCAGTGAACATGTTTGGGAGGCGAACTTGCCTGTTTTCAGCAGCCGTAATTGCTTGCGAGCCAAGCTTCAGATCGCTTTGTCTTGCACCCGCCTGACTTGAGCAGCCCGCTGAACAGCTTGGTGACCATGCAAGGACTGCAGCGGTGGCGCTGCGTTTCCTTCTGCCTTGCAGCTGCTTTGTGTGACCAGGATAGCCCAGGATAGCTGATCTCATCAGATCTCGGAAGCTAAGCAGGGTTGGCCCTGGTCAGTATTTAGATGAGAGACCACCAAGGAAGCTCCAAGGTCATAACACGGGCACAGGCAACAGCAAGGTAAAAGGTTTCCCTTGCTTGAAAGCTAGTCAAATCCGACTCTAGGGGGCTGTGCTCATCGTTGTCCAAAGACGTTTCCATGGTCATGTGGCGAGCGTGACTAAACACCGGGGTGCACAGAACGCTGTTACCTTCCCACCAAAGCGGTACCTATTTATCTACTTGCAATATCTTGCTTTCAAACTGCTAGGTTGGTAGGAGCTGGGTTGGTAGGGGCCAGAAACAGGAGCTCACTCCGTCATGCAGCACTCGGGTCTCAAACTGCCAAGCTACAGACCTTCCATTCTGCAGCTCAGCGTCTTAACCTCTGAGCCACCGCGGCCCCAGGCAACAGCAAACCACCTCTGAAATGTCTCTTGCCTCAAAAACAAGTCTAGCTCACCACCTAGTGGTGCATAACACTAAAAGAGCTAGAACTTCTGGCTGCCAGACAATCTTAGGATCTCCTGGCTCTACTACACACAAGGCCATACGATAACTATTAATTATTATAGCTTCGGGCTAACTAAGATGACCCTGGAGGTCCCTTCCAACTCTATGGTTCTAATGCAGGATAGGATTTACTCTCCACTGCCACCATCTGGCTAGACTTAGAATTGCGGTCTGACAGCCGGCAACCAGACTCTCTTACGAGGAAAACAAATCAAAATCCTTTCCTCAGTACATCTGTCAGATCTCAGAAGCTAAATAGGGCCAGCCCTGGCCAGTATTTGGACGGGAGACCGCCAAGAAATACCAGGGTCATGACGCAGAAGCAGTCAATGGCCAACCACCTCTGAATGTCGCTTGCCTTGAAAACCCTACAGCAGGGGTGTCAAACATGCGACCCGGGGGGCAAGATCAGGCCCCCCAGAGGGCTTCTATCAGGCCCACACTGGGGGTTTTGAGGACCCCCCTTCTTAAAGACACAGCCCCACAAGAATTTCTCCTGTAAATGCTTTTTTCAACATTTTAAAACATTTTTTTAAAGGCATATACTCCTTTAAGCAGAGTGGGGTGCTGTAGTTGACTAATTCCCACACTGAGCTTGGTTGGAGTAGCTGACCTCTAGGATCCCTTCTAACTCAGTGTCAAGAAACTAGTCTCCTTTAAGAGAGCTTTTCTGCCAAAGTGTTCGCTTTCTTGACTATAGAAGTAATAACACACACATGCTGACTTGTTCTT